TTGAGTGTTGGATAATTCTTGCTGGATTTTCGACGAACAAACCTATTATAATCAGCGCTTTCTGCATTTCCCGCATAAACAAGATTATAAAAAGCATCACACTCGAGAACAGATTGTAATTGAACTTTTGGAACACACAGGGAAAATTTTAATTTTATGATTTCTCTTTTGCATCCTTTTTGACTATTTTATAAATGACTTTGTGATATTGATTACTAATTTTACCTTCCCGAAATGTTTTTGGCGAACATTAACTTCTCCCTCCCTTCCACTCCTTTTTCCCAACATTACAGCACTTCTATTTTCGATTTAAGGCCCGTCCCGTTGCGTTGGCGTTGGCGTCGCTTTGGGCCTTTACTTATGGTGATTTCGTTTCTACCTAAAAATGTTGCCTTTTGATTGCCCCTTTCTCTTTTCATGTTCGATTCTAAATTAAAAGCAACGGGTGAGCAAATTGTGTGTTCGTTTCTTAAAATGTCACACTCTTGTAAGGCAAAGAGGGCAAATTCTCTGCCCTGTGAATCAGATGGTTGCTTAAAAAGACAACATTATGAAATGGGTGAGCTAGACAAGGACAAGAAGGCACTTTCGGTTCGCTAACTTTTCTGGGGTTTCTTGAATCTTAGAGTTTTTGAGTTTCTTTGCTAGTCGGTGTTGGCTAAGCCAATGGTGTCTCATATCAAAACACCTCCTTTTTTGGCTGCTTCAAACAGAGATAGACTACCAGCGTTTACTTCTTAGGGGATTGGCCTTGTGCAAAGTGGCAAGACACAACTCAGAACAACAGAATATGTACAAGGGTTAAATATTATGTACAAAGGGCAAACTCGAGTCATTTAACTACTGAAATCTCACCACACATCGTTTATTAGGAAACAGCTCCTTTTGCTGAACAGCTTACATGCGAGTTTGTATATTTACATACTAAATAAATGTTAAGCACAATTTCAAACTCAGTCAGTAACTTTATTTAACATTTAGATATGTAGCCATGTAGATATACGTACATACATACTTACATACATATCCATCTGTATTAAAGAACTTATTTTTTCACTTTATCACCTTGCAGTTTACTTCAAATACGCCCCACTAAATTAGATTTGACTTTACTAACGACTAAATTTGACTACTTTCGTCCACGAATATGTGTATGTACATACATACATACAAACATATGTATGCAAAAAGGTACATATTTATTTATAATCAAATAACAAAGCGCCACTTAGTTTTCAATAATCGTATCCATGTGCTTGCATATATGTACAAACATATGTGCATATGTAATTTAAATATTGCTTTTGTATAAATAAATATTCATGTAGCACCAGCTTTTCACACGTAATTGTCGCCTGATGATATTTCCCGACTTTCAATGACACTCCTGTAGTAATGCGCCGAATTTTTGGCAACACGTTCTTTATTCTCACTTGTCATGTTCAGGTAATAGAGACCAAACTTTTCACTGCAACGAAAACGAACGTTTATTGTTGATTTAAGGTGTCGCTAGCACGCAACCGCAAAGCGCGAAAGTGTCAAAGAGGGAAAAACTAAAATTAAGCATTTACTTACGTAAATCCCTTATTCCACTCGAAATTATCGATTAAACTCCAATGGGAGTAGTGTGTAACGTTGCACCCATCGTTGATTGCATTCAGGACAGCCCGTAAATGTGTCTGCAAAATATAAAAGAAATCTAGGGTCTACACTAGGGTGCCGCATGACGAAAATTTGCCGCTTTTCCAAGCAGATAATAAAATGTGGAATTTTAGCTCCGAATAAAATATTTTGTTTCAATTCGGCACTAATCGTAAGCTGAAGCACATTGAAAATCCTTCTGAAATTCGCATTATTTTATTTTTATTTTTTAGCTGGAACACTTCTAACATCAAATAACCCTATAGACGAGTGTTTCAATAAAAGATCTGCATCAAAATAAAAAAAAAAACTGTTCACCTCTTCAAAATAACGACATTTTTAAGCTTTTCAGTATAGTTTTCGTGGAAATTTTAACAACTCGGCCGTATATTAACCAAATTTCGAGGTAAAACGGAAAAGGTTTTTTAGTTCAAACTAATGATAGTTTTTAGTTTTGGCTTCTTTTAAATGCATTTTTTAAAGTGTTTGATAACTTTAAAATCTTTGGGCTGATTTTCAGTTTCGCATTGTTTTTTTTGTTGAAACATCCTAGGATTTTTCGGCAAAAAAAAATGTCTGAAGTTTTTGGCGCTTGAGTGGTTTAATTAAAAAAATCGCTGGTACTGTGAGAATGAAAAGTAAATACCAAAGAACTGATGGCAGAATTTTTGAAAAAACTTTTAAATTTACATGTTCCCATTATTTAGACTATTTTCTCGGGAAACATTTTGCGATATACATAAATTAGATTTATGATAAACGTGACGTTTTCATGCAGTTTTAAGGAAAGGTTGCAGTTATAAAATTTGCTGGAGAAGGAGAATCGCTTTTCTTTGTATTGATTGTGAGGCAGCCTAGTGTATGCAGAGCTGAGTCGTAATGATTCCTTTAGGAATTAAATTACTTCCAATTTTAAGGAATTTCATATTGTAATTGGAATAAATTACGTGCTAGTATTGTAATTCTTTCCAATTCCTTTGAAAGGAATTGAAAATGTAATTGATTTTTTTCAATTCCATTACCTGGAATTGCAAGAGTACTTTAGTTTTTTCAATTACTCAAGGAATTGTAAAAGTAATCGAGAAACTGAAAGTTCATTCACGAATGTAAAATGTGCATTTTTATAGATACGCAGGAATTAGTTCAAGAGAACAGCAGCGCCCAAGGCAGCAACAGTCCGGACTGTTCTTCACTGCAAGGCGAGCATGAAAGGATTCGGGCGGGTTATGCCTGCTTTGACATTTACGGGTCTCATCTGCCGCGAAGCGCGTTCACGGTAGGATCTGGAAAATTTAACGGTTACCCTATAAACTGACAGTTTAAGTTATGCAGTTTTTTTTTAAATTCCAATTAGTAATACTACTTAGGTATAAGTTATTTATTCTAGGCAGTTAGCAACCAAGAAATTTAACAACAATCAATCAACAGTAAAATTTTTTTATACATTTTTCGATTACTTTTTAAATTACTTTGAGGAATGGAATTCGAAAAAAAATCAATTACATTTTCAATTCCTTTCAAAATGATATTGTGTGCATTTCCTGTTTTTTATTTATTTTAAATAATTTCAAATATAGTTAGATTTATACCAGAAACCACAGAAATCAAAATTTCAAAAATTGCACAAAGTTCACAAAAAAATCCTTTATACAGAATGTTTAGAAAATTTTTGAGTATGCAGTTTTATAGAACATTCAATTTTATTATAATAAAGTGCAAGTTTCAAGCCACTTAAAATTACCGTTGCTTTTATGGAATTTTTTTGTCAAGGGTGTTCAGCATTTTCTTCAATGTAAAGTATGAACAAAATCAATTTTTATAAGGAAGAAAATGCGCAACATCCTCGACAAAAAATTCTAAAAAATCAGCAGGAATTTTTAATGACTTAAAACTTGCACTTTAACTTTACTAAATTTGAACGGCAACAAAACTGAGTAATCGAAAAATTTCCAAAAGTTCTAAATAAAAAGTTGGAAATTTTGATGAAAATTTTTTGAAGTTTCATTCATTTCTCGGTTTCTGTTATATGTAGATCGAACAATATTTTATCTGAAAATTATTAAAAATAAATAAACAGGAGTTGCAAATAATAGGTTTGTTCGTCGAGCAAAAAATTTGTACATATTTGTACGAATTATCACGATTTTTGCCCAAATCGCGTTCGTGCAGACCAAAAAATTATCCAACACTCAAAAATTGTGAGAGCAAAGTGACAGTTCTCTTAGAGAGAAGTTGCAAATTCTTGCTGGAAAAAATTTTGCCAGCAAGAATTTGCAAACACGAAAAACATGTGGTTGTGGCGCATGGTTGCATTTTTGTCTACAATAATTTGAATAAATTAGTTCGTTAAATTTAAAAATTTATAAACACAAGCGATTTTTTTATGAAAAAAGGAAGTAAATAATTGTTGATATAATT